GTTACTTAAAATTTATATATTTACTTATCCAAAATGCTTGATCTATCAATTAATACACATGTATTTTGTCAGAGAACACTGTTTTTGAACAATTCAAAAGTTTATACATATATAAAAAAATGTAAATTGGTTAAAACATTTTATACTTTTGCAGAAACATTTAGGTACAAAATACATTTTAATATAAAATAAAAAATACAACAAATACAGACACATTTAAAATAAAAATATGGAATAAAGTAAGAGCCTTTAAATCAAAGAGTGGATTCTTGGGAATCACATTTAAGTTTCAAAGTCTTTTACCAAATATACCAAACTATAGTTCAAATGTAATAAAATATTATTTTCTAATTATATTTCCATCCATAGAAATAATTTCTGATATTGATGTTTTCATAAATAGCATTGAGACATTTCTGAATAATTTACCTATAAGTAATCAAGTGTGTCCTTTCTTTTATGTGTGTGTGTGTCTGCTCAAAATATTATTGAAGAAATAAGCTTAGTCTTAATTAATCTGGGCTATCTACCTCTCTCTTTCTGTGTGTGTGTGTGTGTGTGTGTATATATATATATATATATATATATATATATATATATATATATATATATGTATGTATGTATGTATATATATATATATATATATATAGAGAGAGAGAGAGAGATGGATAATTATTCTTGATTTCTATTGCTTTAAAGCTTACATGAAATGTAATTTAGAGTATTATATTTTTGTCAATATGATTTTAGTAAACCTTATTAGATGTTCTTAATGCTTCATTGCCTGAGGCTTTGACACAAGCAAAAGATGCATTCCTGAAATGGAAGAATTTTTCATTTTGTTTGTCCCTTCTCATGTTTGGCTTTCTTTAAATAAATTACAAGTTGGATATTGATTACATTTACATAGTGGTAGCTGTAAATTTTTCAGATTTAATAAAAATGATTAGAAAATTCTTGCTGAAAAGAATTAGATATTTTAGCTTATCTTTTAATATGAAAAATTTAACACTAGAAAATAGTGACTAGTTATGTCAAATTATAATAAAAATTATTTAAAACAAAAAGTTTTTTTTATTTTTTTGTAAGAATTCAGTTCATCTTTTAAATATAAGTAAGAAAATTTGCAAGTTATTTAATTGTATACAAAATTTGAAAAAATTACTTTTAATCACTAAACTCATTTATTAATCATGGTTTCAGCCATTATCATCTTTATTAATTCTTTTTGTCTTCTTTAACTGAATAAATTAAATTTTATAAACTAAAATATAACTTGTATTCTTGTAGTCTCAGTTTCATCCAACTCTTGCTAAGTTTTCTTCATAGACAAAATATTTTCCACACAATATGAATAAAAAAAAGCTGAAAACATCTGAAAAAAACAGTGTCAGTTTGTTAATTTAAAAAATAAAAACAAGGTAAGAATGTACAGAAATTTTAAAATCACATTATTCAAGCAAATTTATATTTTTATTCTTAAGAAGAAAAGAAGTAAACTTTTTAAAAGTATTTAAAAGTAATATGTAACACAATAATGCAATTGTTTTATCTATTTTTAAATTTAATATTTCTTTCCTTAAATTCAAAGATATGAAAATAAATAGATAAATAAATAAACAAACAAAAAATTCTAAAACTCTATTAGTTTACCCCTTTCTTGCTTGATTATTATTGTTGCTATTATTCTTTCATTATAGCTTTCCAAAATTCAAGAACAACATTCAAGAACACAATAATTAAAGAAAAAAAAATGTTCCCATTTTATTAAAAAAAATATGGGTAATAAATCATGTTATCAAATCAGTGTATTGATATTTATTTATATGTAAACATTGGAAACTTGAACATGCTATAATGTTTCATGAAATTTTAATTTAATTAAAACAACCTGGACAAGGTAGTGTCTTAGGGAGTGATTAACATCTGATAAGGGAAAGATTTGAACATCTCAATTTCAGCCATCTCATTATGGCCATGAGTCACCATTAAGATCGTGACGGAAGATATGTTATCTATACAGATTATCACACACTAATCTAATAACCACCAAAGATGTTTATATTACTCAAGAGACACTGTGAATGGAACCAGGGTAATATGTGATTAGGAATTACACCAATAAGTTTACCTATATCTATATCAGATCATTATCAGAGGTGGAAAATGAATATAAAAGAAAAAAACCTCAATAGAAACTAACCTGCATTGTTAAATTCCCTGGAGTCCCTGGTGAGATGTGTTCTGTGGTAGAGTCCCGCTGTGACTGCTGCTATAGTGTGACAACATAATTAGGTGTCTGTAAGTGTGTGTGCGTATATGTGTGAAAGTGTTTAGCGTATGTGTGTGTGTTTCTGTGTGTTTGTGTGTGCATCAGTCTGTATACGTATGCATGCACATGGGTGTGTTTGGCGGTGTATTTGCCTCGGCGTGTGTATGTCGGTGTATAATTAAGACTGATGCCTGATGTCCTACCAAGTGTGCCGTGTGTGTAATGGCTGCTCAAGCCAATCACTAGCTGATGTTCTTCCCGTTGAATGGACATAGGCATTGGAACAGACAATCCTTGGAACGGACTTTCTTTTTCTTTTTCCTTCTTTTTCTCTTTTCTTGTCTTTTTTTCCTTTCTCTATTTGTGTTCAAACACACCTACATTTTGCTTTCTCTCTTGTTATTTACAAATATCTCTGAGTTGATCTGTTTCTCATTCTCTCTCTTTTATTCTTCTGTAATTTATTTGTACCTAACTGCCAAAGATGTTTGTATTACTGTGCACTTTTTCTCTTTATATATTAATAGTAAATATGTATATCAAAGAAAACACACACACATGCAAAAAGAAAGGTATTTTTATGCATGAACTTTATAGACTTTATAGACTTTCATATAAGTACAGACACATGTGTATAGATATGTATGTGTGTGTGTGTGTGTGTGCATATATGTATATATATATATATATATATATATATTTGTTGCACCTGTGTATACAAATACACAAACTCAAAGGTGCCTAATACAAAGTGGGGTCTTAATAATTGGGAGGGGTTGGAATTCTTTTTCAATATGCAATAAACAGGGAGAGTCTTAAGAAAGGGAGAATTGGAAAATCACTTAAATGGTCAAAAATTTAGAATTTAAATAACCTTTTTTTTTTAAGTTTATGAAAGAATAGAACATTTTGGAAGGAATAAAAAAAGAACAATGGAACAGTATTTTTTAAACAATGTAATCATAAACATGTAAGTAAAAACTTGAACCAATTATAACAATTAACTTTTTCTTGTTTGAACTCTGAAGAAAAGTACAGAATTAATAAACTGAGTGGTCGTAATAAGTTTGGGTGGATGTGGAAAATGTCCTCCCACCAACAAAAAAAGATGTCCCTACCTTCTGATAGGCACCTAAGTGTATGCATATATGCATGTATAAATGCATGAATGTTTGCATGTAAATATTTATAAGTATGCCGTTGTTTAGATAACATTTCATATTTCCTTCTGTTTTATAGCAAAGAATCCAGTTTCCATAATTAGAATCATATTTTTCCCAAGACTTGGAATGGTGAAGTCACATTTTTTTTCAGGGTTCAAGACTTGATTCTGTCAAGAACGTTTTCACTCATGGCTGCACAAGTTTCAAGATAACTTTTGAAATATACATAATCCCACATGTTTCTTTCTATTTTTTTTTGCGATTTTATCATTTTTGGAAAAAATTTTTTTTAAAAATCAATATTTGGCATGTCTACTTGTGAATGTAAGTATTATTCCAAACACAAATTTAGGAATTCAAAACATCCAAGACAATAGTTTAATTCCATAAGAAATCAATATCCTTTTTGTCTATACAAGAACATACAATTTGTGTACAACTTCTGAAATCTGAGTTGGTGATTATCTTTTCAAGAATAGATATTTTCCTCCAGTTAGATTCATTTCTTTTCAGCACAACCAAGTATACTCTCTCACTTTCTGTCCTTTTTTTTTATCACTTCATTATTAAGTAATTTTCGGTATTGAAATCACCTACAATGTAGGAGAAGAAAGAGAGAAGCAGAGAAAGACAAAAAAACAAAAAAAAAAAACTTTGCTTTTGTGTGACGTCAAATTATCTTTCACTGAAAAATTCTGCAGTGTTTTTGTTTATCTTTGAGTAATTATAAATATCTAATATCTTACATTGAAATCACTGGGTTTTTTTCTCTCCTTTTCCTCCCTTCTTTCATATATCTATCAAACATCAAAGAATTGTAGAAAGTGTTTTTTTTTTTCCTTTTTTCATCCTCTTTTATTTCTGTACTTCAATCAAAAATATTGAATTAAAAGCTATGTTGAAAATTTAGGAAGGAAAGATTTTTCATCTGATGTACAGTTTTAATTTATATATATACACACACATACACACGCACATTATATACATATATATATATATATATATATGTATATATATATATATATAAATCTGAAAATCATATACACTTCTTTATTTATAGCAGATTCTGGTGTGTCTTTTTTTACAGATTTAGTTACAGTGACATTCACATAATCTCCAAATTAAAAAAAAATATAATAAAATAAGAGTAAAATGTAAAAGGAACACTCCTTTTCTTGTGAGAATTCAACTAAAAAATTGCCCTTGTATTTTGTGCGTCAGCTATTGGCTTTAGTTTAGGAATTGTAACAGCTGAATAACTTTCCGTATTGTAAAAAGTCAAAATTTTGAATAAATGAAAAATCCCCTGTATTTCAGAAAGACGATTTAATCTATTTAAAACATTTTAAAATAAAAATAAAAAATTTTAAAAATTCTAAAAATCATGATTTTTCAAGAACTTTCGAAGGAAGGTTAACTTCATTTGATTTT